TCTCTTTGTCTCTCTCTTTGTCTCCTTTGTCTCCTTTTGTGTATTCTGGATATATATGAGTCGCCGTCCGGTATCCTCCCCTCGTGAACTGAACCCCAATGTCGAGGCGGGTCCCCGACAGGGTTTTCAAGGAGTGGCTGATGAGTTTGAACTACTGATCTTGCAGTTCATACCAACCTTGAGTTCCAGTGTTGATCCTACAGCACCAAACTAGGACACCTTATGGAGGCGCTGTTGTTAAGTGGCACCGAGTCAGTTCTGACTCAAAGTGACCCTGTATAGGGTTTCTGAAGAGCAGCTGGTGGGTTTGAACTGCTGACCTTGTGGTTGGCAGCCCAGTGCTGATCCTACAGCACCACACCTGGAGTCATGTGAAGGTGTTGTTGTTAAGTGCCATCAAGTCGGTTCTGACCCATAGCGACCCTGTATAAAGTTTTTGAGGAGTGGCTGCTAAGTTTGAACTGCCGACCTCACAGTTCTAACCGACCTTGCAGTCCAGTGCATTATCCACAGTGCCACAAATACCAGGAAATAATTGAAGAATGGGTATTGACATATATACAATCACCTTTCCCTACCTCATGCAATAAGGACTGGACTTCTAACCACAAGACCACCAGCAGCTATGCAGGAGAAAGACGAGTCCTGCCAAGATTTAAAGCCTGTGAAGCCCTATACAGAGTCTGTATGAGTTGGAAACAACTTGTCTGCACTTAACAACAACACCTCGTCCACCCACATTTAAAAGGGGAAAGGCTTCTTGATGGCAAGGGTAGAAACTGGGTACTATTCTGTTGTAAGAATTCATGAAATGGCCACAGCAAAGAGAGAAAATCACTCCAGAATGTCAGGGACAATTTAGCCAATGAACCTAATGAGGAACCGAGAGTAGAATGGGTGAGAGGAAATGTGAGGATACTGAATATCAGAAGGAGTTTGGAAGGCTGATAAAGGAGAATAAGAGTTGAAAACCAGTGGTCTCCAAAGTTTTTGGATTCGGTACCTCAATTAGGAAAACAATCTCAAGTGGTGCAATGTTTAATGAAGCGTTTGTTTCCTTCCACAGGAGTAAATCAGGAGTAGGTACTTTCTCCTACCTAGCTTCTAGGGTCTGGAGACCTGAGGCCTGGAGGACTCCTGTAAATATTACAAACTAGGACACCCTATGTGTGGTGCTGTACATAAAGCACTGGATTGTTAACTGCCGGTGGTTCAAACTCACCAGCTGCTCCTTGGAAGTCTTATACAGGGTCACTATGAGTCAGAACCAACAACAGAAGACCCTGTGAGGAAGTTCTATGCCGTCATACAGAGTTGCTATGGATCAGAGTCAATTCAACAGCACAAAACAATCAAAATAAGCATAAATTTATTTAGCTAAGCCCCAAATATAAAGGAACCCTGGTGGCATAGAGGGTTATGATTGGGCTGCTAATCATAAGGTTAGTATTTTGAATCACCAGCTGTTCTGTGGAAGAAAGATGAGACTTTCTGCTTCTGGAAACTATGTACAATCTTGGAAACTCTAAGCAGGGTTGTTATGACTCAAAACCTATTCAATGGCATACAACCACTACACACAATCTATGATTTTTTATAAATTTATAATTAAAGTATATGTATGCCAGGAGCATCAACATACATGATTGTCAAAGGTTAAGAAAGTAAATATATCATAAATTGAAGTTCTAATATTTCCTTTTTACATCCGAGCACATGGCTTTTGTACCCTTTTATGGTGATGTTTAGTGTAAAATGTGAGAGGTTTGGTACAGCTGCAGAACATGAGAGGATCATGGGAGACTTTAGTATTTGAAGATAAACATATATAAGTTATGTATTGGTGGTGGTAGTGTTGTGCCGTGGAGTCAGTTCTGACTCATAATGATCCCGTTTAGGGTTTCTGAAGCTGTAAATCTTTACAGGCGCAGAAAGCCTATCTTTTTCCCATGAAACAGCTGGTAATTTCAAATCACTGACCTTGAGGTTAGCAGCCTGATTCATAACCACTACACTACCAGAGCTCCTTAAATTATGCATTGGAAATCCTTTAATGAGCTTCTAACAATGTAGGTCAAATTTGGGATTGTATTAAAATTGCTTGATTACTATGATTTCTTTTTAATAAAACACCATGACATTTGAGGTATCAAAAACTAGCGAGGAGAATTGTTTTTCTTGAATGCAGAGTCAGCAGTTAGCTCTGTGCAGCAGCTCTCCTTGTTGCTGCATGACAATATGCTGACCTTAGGTACACTCAAGGTTGTGCGGGACACTTACAATTCACGGTGACCTTCACTCTCCGTACCACGGGTGCAGACACATCATTGGAGGCACTGCACTCATAGTCTCCCGACTGCTCTCGAGTGATGCCCTGGATTTCCAAGTATTCATCCTCACTAACAAAGCCAACTGCTGCAGGAGAAGCAAAGAGTTGTGGTCAGACAAGAGGAAAAATAGCAGTGTATGAAGTTAGAAAAGAAGGTTTCAAATGCTCACTTGTGCAGAACATAGTGTCATTCCAAAGTTCAGATTCACAGGAAGAGTTTCAGTTCCCATTTCCGGAACACTTCTCCTTACCTCCCCTTCCACCATCAATTTTTCCTCTGTTCCTCAATGGACCAGCTGAAATATTTGTTGCTACCTGAACTTAAGTGTAATGCCTACAGAATTACTGATCTTTGATAAGTCATTTATAATTTTGACATTTGTATTCCCAAATCTTGCCAAGCAGTTTAGCTGTGACATCTAAGTATGGTATCTCAGGTAGACATTGATTCTTTCTGGTCTCAAGGTGTCATTTAGACTAAGCTTTGAAGTGTACAGTTGATGACTACATCCTTGAAGTTCACACACACATACACACATGTATACATTCAGACCACTATGGAAATGCAAATAGAGTATATGCAAATTTCTGCTTTTAGATTTAGACAGTGAATTAGATAGGCAGAACTCAATTGGCTAAACATCAATATGGCAGAGTTCTCGAGTACAAGATCTGTAAGACAAACTAACACAGAGGGTTTCACATTTGATGCCTAGCTACAATCAAGGCAGAATGGAGATAGCAAAAGATTTCAGGTAAGAAGACACAGCTTCAAATGTTGCTCTGTCACTTAATCATCCTGAGACTCAATTTCTTTAATGAAACTTTACGAATAATAATGATCCTGAAAATAATGTTCATTATAGTTGATGTCTGGCAACAGGTATGACATTATGAGAAGACCATGACATTTAAGCTGAGCTAACATTTAAACTTCTCTCACACAGGGACCCTAATCCCTTAGCTTCCTTGATGAAGATAATGGATAACAAAAATCATGGTTTGCATACATCCCAGGAATATTGTGACATATCTGTTGAGTGAGAATAATTAAGATGACCATACATTTAAACTGGGATACTTGTAAAAGGGAAACGATCATAAATCAAGATTGTGCATGGCAACTGAAGGACATTTTCTAAGGCATAGTATACACATATGGTATTTTCAATTACGTCATATGCATGTGAAGGTTAGATAATGGATAATGGAAACCATAATATGATGTTGGAGAAGAATGTTAAAAGTACCACGGACTGCAAGAAAAACAAGCAAATCTGTGTTGGAAGAAGTATGCTCAGAATATGCTCCTTTGAATCCAGGATGGCCAGACTTTGTCTCTCATACTTTGCACATATTATCAAGAGGGACCAATCCCTGGAGAAGGATATCATGTTTGGTAAAGTGGAAAGTCAGCAATAAAAAGGAAGACACCAAAGAGATGGACTGGCACAGTGGCAGCAGTAATAGACCCAAGTATAGCAATGACTGGGAAATTGGCACACAACCAGGAAGTGTTTCATTGTGTTGTACATAAGGTTGCTAAGAGTCAGCATCTAACAACAACAGTATACATGTACTTCTAGTACCTCATAGGGCTATTTAGAGAAATAAATGAAAACTTACATACTACTCACATGTTGCTTTTAATCCTGCAATCTACCTCAGTGCAATTTCAGGTAGAGCATACCCACCTTAACAAGAATGGCCCCAGATTTTTACTATGAAGGAAAGAAAGGAACCTTTTCTTCTGCAGGTTACCACATATGTGTGCTAATCCAGAGCATAACAATGATGTTGTTGTTGTTGTTGCTATGTGCCTTTGAGTCAGTTGTGACTCATACCAATCCTGTTTAGCGTTACGAGGAGCAGCTGGTGGGTCTGAACCAACAACCGTTCAGCTGAAGCCAATATTGCAGTTCAGTGCTTATCCACACCAGGACTCCATGACAATGATAGTTGCTTGAAAATAATTGAACATTAAGAAGTATGAATATATGTGGAATTGTGGGATATAAGCTATAATTTTATTTTTCTGTAACAATTCACCATTTTTGTCAAGATAAGGACAGTAACAATGACAACAAAACACCACAGTGCAAAGATCTGCCACTATCTTATTCAGTTCTGTCTCTACTCTGCATTTCCTCATGAATCTCTAGGCCATATGGGAGCTACAATATGTATGTTCAGAAACTCTCTTGCCACTATTGCTTACAGAAGAGCAAAAGAACAGCCCAGATTCATTATAGCAAGGAGGTAAGAGTTAATAAATTCACAAAAAGAACTAGGAACATATTAATAAGTAGAAACAGAGCTAAAAATTCCAGGTTACCGAGAAAACAACCAGTATTAGCCCACAGAGACTCATAGTTTCAACTTGTAAGAAACTTCAAATTGTCTCAATAGACTTTATTATGATTATTTTCTAAAAATATTCTTTATGAAAAAGAAAAAGAAAGCATAACAAAACCCCAAACATTGATTGTTTAGAGGTTGGGGAAAATCAGAAAGGAGAAGAGGTTTAAATAAACACAAGTATTTGTGGTTCTTTTTATATTATCATTGTTTAGTTGCTACCAAACTCAAGCCTGCATTTGTCAACCCTTTTCCTGCTAGAATGCTATAATTACTGTACAGAGCATCTCGGAGACCAGTGTTACACTTAATATTTCCATTAATTTTAAATGGTAGTTCTTGGTACATATGTGTGGAAATTGGTGTCATATTTTAATTAGGCTTGCCCTACACCATCTGAAATTAATAATAACTCAAATTACCAGTGTAATTTATAAATTAACAGTGCTGCAGCATTAGGAAATAAATTAGGTCTGGACAGCTGTTTCTGGATTGAGCTCTTGTGTCGGAGCAGTGACTGGTTGGACCTCAGGTCTCCTGGGAGGCTTTGCACAACATCACCAAAGTGGGAAATGAAAAGACAACAGGCTTTCTATGTGTCTTGTTCTTCTCACTAAAGACCACACATGTGTTTTCAGTCTACCACTCAAATATGCTATTGCGTGACCACAGTAAGATTTAAAAGAGACTTATGGCACTCTGGTAGCGTAGTGGTTACGAATCGGGCTGCGAACCTCAAGGTCAGCAGTTTGAAACTACCAGCTGTTCCATGGGAGAAAGATGAGGCGTTCTGCTCCCGTAAAGATTTATAGCCCTGGAAACCCTGTATAGGATTGCTATGAATCAGAACTGACTCGATGGCACACAGCCACCACCAGATAAGAATTAGGGACTCCTGTTGTGGCGCTGTGAGTTAAAGCTCTTCACTGCATGGTTGGTTTGAACTGCATGGCTGGGAGTTCAAATTCACCAACCACTCCTCAGAAACTCTATACAGGCTCGCTGTGAATCAGAACCAACTCAACAGCACTTAACAACAACAAGAAGATGAGCATTTGTTATACTAACATCCAAATGGAGAAACATGTTGGTAGAATTGATGTCAGACTGAAATTCAAGTTCACAAATATTAAGATGAGCAGAGTTAAGAACTCGTTTAGTTTACTGGGGGAACATATGAATTAATGTCTGTATAAGATGTAAAAGTTTAAACAATAAATTTGTAGGATAATATCAGGAGAGCTTATCTAGGGCAAGACCTTGGATGACCAAAGATTTTGGGAAGACATGTACATGTATTGTGTTGTTAGATGACATTGAGTCAGCTCCAACCTACAGCAGTATCTTATATAACTGAATAAAACATTGCAGTCTTCCCAGTTGTCGGTTTGCTCAAGTCTAGTGCTGTAGCCAAGGAGCTCTGGTAGCATAGTGGTTATGAATCGGGCTGTGAACCTTAAGGTCAGCAGTTCGAAACTACCAGACGCTCTGTGGGAGAAAGATGAGGCTTTCTACTCCCGTAAAGATTTACACCCTCGTAAACCCTGTACAGGGTCGCTATGGGTCGGAACCGACTTGACAGCACTTAACAACAACAACAACAGTGCTGTAGCCAGTGTGTGTGACACTGAGATAAAACACTGCACTGCAAAGTTGGTTTGAACCATAAAGTTGGTGGTTCAAACTCACCAGCTGTTCCTTGGAAGCCCTAAATAGGGTCACTATGAGTTGGAACAGACTGGATGGCACTTAACTACAACAACCTACTTCGGGGTTCACCTTCTAGCACTATATTACAAATTATTCTATGACCCGTAGGATTTTCATTGGCTAATTTTTTGAAATAGATCTTGTTCCTAGTCTGTCTTAGTTTCAAAGTTCTGTTAAAACCTGTCCACCATGGGTTATTCTATTGGTATTTAAAATAACAGTGGCATAGCTTTCAGCCTTATAGCAACATGCAAGCTACCACAGTTTGACAAACTGACAGACAGATGGGTGGTGGGTTCTATTACTAGAGGGAAGGGATTTATATTTAAGTCCTTTGGGAAAAAATCAGTGAGATGTTATTAGCTTATCAGGTATTCATCACACAAAATGTAGACTGATAGAGAAACCACAATGACCTCAGTTACTCATAAATTTTTACATGTGCACTGATTAAATTGAATAGCTCATGTGAACAGTGACTTGTGTAAAATTTGTCCTCACACATTCTTTCTCTATTAGAGGCATGCTGAAGAAAACCAGAGAGAAAGACAATCAGTATATATGATGGGGTTTCAAAACATTCATTATAAAATTCCATTAGCTTTTAATTCCATTTTTTTTAAAGCCCCTTGTATATAACAAATCATCATAAATGGTTTTAACCATCAGAAATAATGTTTATATAAGTCTTGCATTAAAAAACAAAATAAATAAGAACACCATCACCTGAAATCTGAATTTATAGAATTAATGTATAGTTTCCTTTAATATTTCTGCCCTGGCTATAGAACTATGAAATAATCAGTGCTTAATTATTAATATAAAGTACTAACAAAGACTATTGAAGTGGCAAATCAGACCCACAGGGCATATTTTTAAAACACTAAAGGTCAGATTGCAATAGCAGACATGGTCTCTGCCTTCAGAGGGCTCACATTGTATTGGGGGAAAGCAGATTAATCAACTAATTACACACCCTAATTCTGAAGTACCACTGAAGTAAGAACCTCAGGTATAC